GAGAAGAGTTCACCATTGTCATTCATTTCACCGAGGGCCTCGCGACCCATGGTGAGTTCTCTTCCTGTATTGTCTTCTCCCAGTTTCGCATTCATATCACCCATCAGGATTCTGATATCGCAATTTGGGACGTTGTCCATTACTGTTTGTAGTTGTCTGTAGAAATCCTCCTTCTTCTGTTGTTCTGAAACGTTTGTAGGCGCATGGCATTGAATGATTGTAACCTTCCTTCCTTTTGAGTTGAACCTAGCTGTCATTATCCTGGAGGAGATTGGTTCCCACTGCATGAGAGCTTTAGCCGCTATTGGTGACGTCATGATGGCTACTCCCTCGGTGTGCTCGTGATCGTCCTCTGGGTGACCGGAGTAGATTACTGTCTCTCCATTTGATAGTTGGCTCCTTCCACATCCGTTCCATCTGCTCTCGCAGATTCCCAACACTTCTATTTATATCTCCTCATTCCTGCGGCTACCTGAGCAGCCTTTCTAGCTTCGTACATTGTACGAACATTCGACGTCCCCATCCTTATTTTTGCTTTCATCGAAAGGAGGCACATCGTCTGACTGGCTTCCCGAAGGCTTTCACCAGCCTGCGTCATTTCACTTCCCCCATTCCAGCGAGAAATAAGGTTATTGTTTATATTTTTAGTATTTTTAATATATTTATGCGTTTAAGTTTCTGTAACAATTCGGTTAAGTTTTGGGGGTGGATTTGCTAGCACCACGCCCCAACCCTCCCTCTTTATCCGGGCTTGGGACCCGCTAGGAAACTAGCGAGCTGGTAATCTAGGTGAGGTTAACATTCCAAATGGTGACATCAAAATCCATATGGGCGATATGAATGTCAAGCTGGGAGCTGATAATATGGGGAGAGCAATCATCATGGGTCGATAGGCTCTGGCTCGGCAAAATGAATGAGGACAGAGTATTGTTCGCAGACTTCTGCGCTTTCAATGATTTGGTGATTGGAGGGAGCATGTTCGAGCGCATGGATATACACAAAGCAACGTGAATTTCGCATGACGAACACATCGCGAACCGGATAGATTTCATCTCATTATTGCTCGAAGAAGTGGAAACACAGCTAGTCTGTTGGACACAAAGTCAAGAAGGGTAGCAGATGTGGCCTCAGACAACCATCTAGTTCAATGAACCTTCAAGGTGAAGCTAAAATCCCTCAAAACGAATAGAGACAGGTCACAACTCAAGTTCAACACGCAAAAATTGAAGGACACAACCATAAAGGACATTTTCACTGCAATTGTCAGAGCATACCAGGAAACACTACGTGGCATCACTGAGGAATCACGCGTGGAAGACCATTGGAACTCTCTGAAGGTGATTTTCAACGAAACGTGTCCAACGGTTTTAGGAAGAAAGAAGAGACAAGACAAGGAATGGCTCTCAACGGACACCCACCTGGAAGCTAATAGAAGTGAGGAGGGGAGAATGGTGAAAGAGAAAATGATTCAATGCAAAGACGGACAAGAGAAGAAGACGCTGAGTTCATCTTACACAGCACTGAATAAAGAAGTGAAGAAGAGTGCTAGGTAAGAAAAAGGACAATTCCACGACACGCTGGCTGGTGATTGAAGCAGAAAAGGTAGGTCATAGGTAAGAGAGACCTGAAGACATTATATCAGATAACCAGGCTGCCCGCTATCCGGGAGGAGATCAACCTAGATGATGAATCCTAAAAATGATGTTCGAGGGAACCTAATTAAGTAGGGGGAGAAACAAATAAGACTCTTGAGTCGAACATCACCTGCAACTCGCACATATATACCACCACCACCAACATCACGCACAGAACTGCCAGTGAACACCAATCCTCCAACGAAAGCAGAAATCCTGGATGCTATCAGGCTGCTGAAGTCCGGAAAGGTAACAGGGCGAGACAGAATTACCTCCGAATCGCTGAAAACGGACCCAGAAACTGAGGCTGATATTCTCACGCCATTATTACAAAAGGTTTGGAAAGAAGGAAGGGTACCTACCGATTGGAACTAAGGCTGGCTACCAACTGAAACTACCAAAGAGCGACTTACGCCTCTGCAAGAACTGGCGCCGATTCATGCTCTTGTTCACACCAAGTAAGTACTAAGTGGCATCATCCTGGAGAGACTAAAAGATGCATTGGATGCAGAACTCCGTCAACCCAGAACAAGCTGGATTCACGAAAGCTAAATCATGTGTTGATCAGATTGCGACTCTACGCAATCGTCCTCACAGAACAAAGCATAGAATGGCAGTCAAACTTCACTCTACCTCAACTTCATCGACTTCGAAAAGGCCTTCGACAGATAGCGTTGACCGAGAAGTAATTCGGAAACTACTTCAACACTACGGCATGCAGTGCTCAAGTCTTTATCAGCGTCATTCAACAGCTGGCTATATGGTGATAACACATGTCAGTTGATGCACGACGGTGAACTCAGCGAGGCGTTTGTAGTGCATACAGGAGTAAGACAAGCTAGTTGCCTATTACCACCAACGATGATATTCTTAATTGTGGTGGACTGGATCATACGTCACACTGTGCTTGGGTGCGAGGAGTTAGGAATACGCTGAACGATCAATGAGAAGACTCTAGAAGATCTGGATTTCGCAGATGATATTTGTTTAATGTCACATAAACTCGAGGACTCACAGGCGAAAACCAAAAAAACTGGATGAAGAAGCAGACAGGACTGTAGGTGAACATAGAGAAGACGGAGGTGATGAAGATAACCAACGAGCCAAAACAACAACAACCAGCACCAATCACCATCAACGGGACAGATTTAACAGAGGTTACTACCTTCACTCATCCAGCCACGAAGCATCGTTTAAACCATAGGCAGTCGGAATGGATGAAGATATGAAAGCAGGGCAGAATCGGAAAGGCAAGATACGCCCTCATCAACCTGAAACCAGTTTGGAAATCTTCTGCACTCAGCCTCAGCATGGACAACAAGATTCGGATTACCAACACAAATGTGAAATCAATCACTGTTTCTATAAGGGTCAGAAACTTGAGCTGTGCGTCACAAAAGGAATTTCCAACAGGTTGCAAACTTTTATCAACAGCTGCCTTCTCTGGCTCCATACTGAAAATCAAATGGCCAGAAAGAATTAGCAACAAGAAACTCTGGCTGGAAACAAACTTACAGGCAAGAGCCGATCGCCCAACAAATATGTAGGTGAAAATGGAGATGGATCGGGCATACCGTCGAATGACATTGCACGCCAGGCCCTCGAGTGGGTCGTCCTAGGGTGACATATAGGAGATCGTGTGAGGAGGTGATAGATTATGGATAATTGTGGACCTAGCTGAAGACGACGGAAGAAAATAGAACAAAGTGTAGACGAGTTGCTGAAGTCCAATGCTCCCCTCGGAATCCAAGGAAATAATAATAATGAAGTTATTGCTGATATGGAATAGACAGTTATCTGGACAGAACTGTAAAAGACAACCACCGCTGTCGGTTCATCGACATGGAACTCAAAAGGCGTCACCAACCTAGTTTCATCACTGGCACAGCTTTTCTACTTGACCACTGAAATCACTTACTGACACGACCATATCTAAGTACTTCACCTTCAGCAGGGAACTAGAGAGCATTTGATAGAACTCAACTTTTACTTCGTGCGAACTGCAGTCAGTTGGGATGTTAGTGGATATTACGTAAAGACACTGACGGGTATCACAATCTTTCCCTCTTCTCACAGATCCGTTCAGTCAGAAAGCTTACATAGAACTGTTTACTGAGATCCAGTCAAGTAGGAATTTTTCTCCTCTAGTGCCCAAAGCTATTCCTACACCATTACTTTGACCCGAACTAGCTAAATTATGTCCTGACAACAGTAAGGTGAGATTTGTAAATCCACCAAATTGACCAGGAGGGGTTAAGTGAATGACCACACTTGAGTCTTGTGTACGCGTCTCCGGAACACATCGGGCTAATGCGACCTGCTGCGCGACTAGGCATTTGTTCCGGACATAGAGTACTCCAATATGAAGTTGGCAATGTAGTTTTGAAAGACTATCGGTAGTGCTTTTCCGGTTCTTGTCGTTGTTAATGGTTCCAGAGGTAACAGTAGGCGGAGAGCATACTTGTGGAGTGGTAATAACAGTAACAACAAAGCAAGATGAAGGTGGTTGCTGATTAGAAATTAATTCCCAGCTGCCCACATTGTAGGAGTTAATTTCCTCTTGAAACAGAAAGAGCATTAATGTAACATGATAGAAGAGCCCAGGAGGCAGCTACCTAAGGCGGATAACACAATTTGTTTTCAGTTTTTATGGAAGATTTGTCCATAAGAAGATCTTATAATCAGCTACCGACCGCTGCAAGGTAAGTCGAGAAGTAAAATTCTCCCTTCCCAGAAGTGAGAGGCAAAATAGCTTTCAGTCCAAGGGAAATATCTTATCGCTCTTACATCCCCTACTCGAAAGCAATACGATTTCACCCTCAAACTTTCAACACAGTTTGAAAGACTTACACTATGATGCCAACTGCTTTTATTCTAACCACTATCCAAACAACGTTCTTGATGTTATGACTATCGTTACCACATTCTCTTCAACTACACCGAACGACTAAGTAGCAAAACGATTAACTTTGATAGCATCGGCCTTAATTATTATTATTATTGTTCCCTTGGGTTCCTAGTGGAACATAGGGCTTCAACTGCACGTCTCCACTTGCTTCTGTCTTCTGCTGTACTTTTCACTTGCGTCCACGGCCTTAATACAAACCACAAATTACCCACAATCTCCCACTCACCTACCCATCTACGAAAGCTATGGTAGGCAAGTGGCGAGCAGAAAACGATCGAATATCAAGGACTGTTATCCCACTAGCGACAATCCAAGCGAGAAAAGAAATCCGCCTGTTTTGCACCAACTCGCCAAGAAAGCTTTAAGTCACGTATATTTCTAAATGAATTCCGGTGGGTCGGTAGGGGAGCAATCGCTTGTCAATAAAGTTAATCAAAACAAGTGATTCAGCGAAGAGACCCATATATATACTATTGTACAGCTTGATAACAACAATAAACTCGTTGAAAAGAGTCTCTTCGCTGAATCATTTGTTTTGGAATTTTCCATGAATAAAGTTAGTAATCAGGTTGGAAATAACTACTCCATGATACTTGTCAACCGAGTAATCTTTTCTGATGTACTGAAGACAAATGACTAAGGTCTGAAAACTCAATATTATTTTTATGTGAGTAAATATATGAAAATACAGGATTAAAATCTACATAAGAGAATTGTACAAATGCAGATAGGAAAAGAATTTTTAAAATGATTCTGCTTCACGCATATCTGTAACAAGTTTAACAATGACTGCTTTTGTATTTACATCAACTTTAGTGTCATCTGTTACATTGATAAAGTGTTTCCGCATAAATATTCGACAATTTCGAGAAAGTCTTGTATAGACTGACAATTGCATTAATTTAGCTAAAACATTTTGATATTCACCAGTGCACAATTCCATAAGGGTATGCTTTAAGAATGCAATATTCCCTTCACTGTTATCACCGAAATTGTAATTCTAAAATGCAGAACAATAAAAAACACACAACAGAAATGTTATAAAATTCAGTAAAATCTACTGAGATAATTTAAATATCTGGAGGTGTCCACCACTCTCCAACTGAAGTCAATCTTAGAACAATTAACTACATGTAGATCAACAATTTTTTTAAACCAAAGTGAATTATAAGATGTTCCAAGTGCACAAAACGCTCCCATATCTATATACGTATTGTACTTGGTGTTATAAATCACCAAGACAAAAAAGTTTTAGTCCGTGGTTTCCCGATCACCAGTCAACATTGATAATGTGTATATAACAAATTGAATGTATTACTTAATACACACACCACAGCTGTCAACATGAAACTGTTGAAGTCTATTGATTACAGGTAAATAACTGACTGAGTTTTAACACAGAAGTACAGGCTAGACCTGTGTTGCCAGACCCCAGATATTTATCTATTTTAATTTTATTGAAGCCTGATTCCATGAAGTATTTTTGGTACAACTATGGAATTTTCAGCATGTGATATCGGTAGCCCAAAATTTAGCAGGCCGACCGTTGGTATCGGGTGTGAGTCGGCCAAGGATTGAAACCCGGACCATGTGAATGGTCGGTGAGCGTCCTAACCACTGTGCCACCGACGCAATCAAAATTAGTATAAAAAGAGAAAAAAGGAATTCAAAAAATATATAATGCTCATAAATGTACAGAAATAAGGGTTAGCTGAAAAAAAAATCTAATGGATCTGGGGGACTACAAAGAGTGAATGTATCTGTACAATTTAGATAGGTTTTCAGCCATCATATCTCCAGCCGTTGGGTCCTCAACATCGGAAGCATCCCCAATCGGACCTCAGCATGGATACAGAAGGCTCGTTGCGCATATGCCAGTCCACGCCGTCCTTGCCGTAGACGTGATATCCAGCTAGCTATCGACTAAAAGGAGTCTGTACTGCTCAGCAGTCCGCTCCGTCCTCCTCTAATGGCTGTGTGACCTGGCCATTGAGAGTGGAAGACATGAAGAGCCTGGCTAGCTGTCTTTGATCATAGGTGTCTGCGTTCTATCTCCCATGTGAAGTGGTATAACAAGGTGAACAATATTGAGGTGAGGCATCGATCGAGTGCTAGGTAAGGACGGAGGGAAAATCAATCGACGAGGCTGTGAAGCATCTGCATCGGTTGAGATGGTTAGGACATGTGTTACGCATGCATCCCTAGTCATCGCCTTCCTCGACAATGGTCAATATTAGTCAGCTGACATAGGGTCAGGTTGGAGAACAGCTAGTGGTGGTCAAACCAAAACATGAATTCACAAGTCGATGAAATCCACAAGTTAGTTTAAGCCAGTCAACCAGCCACGTAGGAAGGTGTAGACTTCCTGGTATAATGGCGCAGATGCATCCACTACTTGTGACTCATAATACTCAATGAAACTATATTGCTCTTCGATATTGCTATTCCTTTTGTCTCATATCACTGTTTACTGTCTCTATTTTGCATCCCTTTTTACTTTATTCTCTTGCCCTGTGTGCTATGGTATTTAATGAATTTACGACCAAAATGTCTGGAGAAAATTGAAATACTAGAACTCGAGTTAATTTTTAATTTTTTTTCCTTCACGTTCCCCAGTGGAACATAGGGCTTCAAGCTAGAGGCTTGAAGTTTCAGTAGCAGTGTTTATTTTACAGGATGGGGATGCTAGCCTCATGCCCAACCTTTCCTCTTCACCAGCATTATTTCTGGCTCAGCGAGCTAAAGGAGTGCGTCGGCCGGGGATCAAACCCGGACCATATTAAAAATGGACCTGAGGTAAAGTTAAATCAAAAGATGAGAACGAAGTTGAATTTAAACAAAATAGGACATTTGGGATTCTACTTTGAGCCTAGAAAGGGGTTTTCACCACTAGATATTGGTATAGCCCTTGAAAAGTGATCAATTCACGGGACAGACTTCTGGGACTAAAAATTTGATAAACAATTTCCTTTCAAATAACGCAATTCAGCTGCAAAATCAACTTCCTAATTTAGTAGCAAGCATAGAGAGCTGTAAATGTACTTCATGTTCTTGATTGTAATTTTAATAGTATGCTGTTGAAGAACGCTTCACTTATTCTGTAGTAGGCGTTGCTTGCAAGGTTTAAGAGATTTAGGATTCTTATAAACACTTGTGACAGATAACTAATGAAGGTCAATGGGAGGAAATAATAAGGATCTAACCCCTTTACCAAGATAACGGCGATATAAAGGTTAGATAAGCATTCCTTATTATATATTATATTATATATTATTCCTTTGCGTTCCGAGTGGAACATAAGGCTTCAACAACATATCTTCACTTTGTTCTGTTTTCTGCCGTCCTCTTCAGCTGGGTCCACGATTCACCTTCATAACCTCACCTAGATACAAGCTCGTTATTTTTCTAGCCGGTCACAAACCCGGGTAAAGAGGGAAGGTTGGGCGTGGGGCTAGTAACCCCACACCACTAAATCTTTCAAATCGCTAGAGAAACTTCAACACACAGAAAATATATTTTTTTTTAAACACATTCCTCAGTATATAAATAAATAAATAATAGTATATTCTCATTTTGTACATGAGGGACGCCAGTCTTAGTCATTTTATAATACACACCCAAAGATAATTTCTGTCACGGTCTGAAACAAACTGGGGAACACTAATGAAATTGAAGGAGCACTGGATAGCTGTTCCGTCGCTATTTCATTCATTTGATTCCTTTGCATTCCTAGAGGAAAATATAGCTTCAAGGCTTTGAAGTTTGAAGTTCCAGTAACAGTGGTGCTATTCTTTTCTACAGGATGGGTTTGCCAGGCTCACACTCAACCTTTCCTCTCTACCGGACTAACTACTGGCTAAGCTAGGTTTAGGAGTGTGTCGACTGGGGGTCGAACCCCGGACTAGGTGTGTAGAGTTGCTTAGCATTCTATCTGCGAACCACTGACGCTCCGTCATAGAATACCGAAAAATTGCACACTCATAACTTTACCGGCGACCAATTCCAAGACATTCGCGTGGCTAGATGAATGTTACTGTTTAAAAAAAGTGACAAGTGGAACACACACACAGCAGTAACTAAGAGGTTTGGCGTTGTTCCAATCAACAATAATATAAAAAATTTAAAAAAACATTCAGAATATACACTTTGATTTAGGCTAGGTGTTTAGTGTATACAAAATAAAAATGGCGTGAAGCTTACCTTTAATACAGTAAGTGGAAAGTTATAAACAAGACATATTAAGCCTAAAGCGCGACCAGCATTAGATTTAGCCTCTACAGTTAGATTAGTATTGTTTAATACATCCCAAAAGCCACATTTTATCATCATCTGTAAGAGAAAATAGAAATGAAATCCTGTTAACAGGAAAATACAGTTGTTATTTGAACACAGTTAGAGTGTGCCACATTTGAAATGAAATAAAATGTAACTTACTGATTTTTGATCCAATTTTGATTTTCCCGTTGACTGACTAGACGGATACGTTCGACTTCTGTTGACTGTCGGCTCCTTGCGCTGATGGTTCGACGGCTGCAGATTAAACTGAAGTAATTTGGTGGATGCTGACTAGCAGTGGAATCCAGGATGCGCACTTCCTCCTACTTAGGACTCGTCATCCGGATGTAGTTACATTCCTCAGTGAGTCAACAGAGGCCGAACACTTCGGTTCAATCAATCAACGGGAGCATCAAAATTGAATTGAAAGTAAATAATAAGTAAAACCCATTGCAAAAGAGGTGGTTCTTGTGACCCAAGTGGTCTAGTGGATAACACCCTGGCATTTGAACCGATGAATACTGGGTTCGAGCCTCAGTGGGAACACCACCACTCATCAGGGAATGCAGGTACATCCAGGTGATGAGCTTCGATTTGGACAAAAGGCGCATTTTAGATCCCACTGGTAGTCACCATCCAAAAACTTAATAAACCGTACCTTTCCTAGTAAACATCTTAACTAGGATTTTCACTCCACCATAGTTAAGAAAAAATAACGATTCTCTAGTCGATGAATGATTGGGACACAAACGAAAAATAAGCTAGACAGTTTTGCCACATCTTTGTGCATTTATCAATTCAACTGCACCTGCGGTGACGGTTATGTTGGGCGTACTACTAAACAGCTTAGCCAACGTGTTAGTGAACATCTCCCATTGTGGTTTGGCAAAGGACAGACAAAAACAGTCCGTAGCTCAATTTTGTCAAATTTAGTTGATAGAGGGTCATATAGTGGAGAAAACAAGAGCTTTCAAAGTAATTCGTCGTATCCCACCGAATCTTACCAATAGACTTCGTATTCGTCTACTGAACACAGCTGAGGCGATAGGCATTCGAACAATAAACGATGAAAGAATCTTTATTGACTGCTACCAAAAGTAACAAATACTGCAGATAATTCACTAATTATACTTGGTATAACACAGAAGTAGCACATAAATTCATGACTGTCAAGTGCAAAGATACCAAATCCATCTGTAAATTCTATAGCCACAGACGAGAAGGGTACAAATATACTGGATCTTTATAATCCTTGAAACATTTTTGCTAACAACCAATCACGTTATCATTCCATTTTCCTTTATGTCCCTTTTTAATCATTTTCAAGTCAGTAGAGAAACTGCAGATGTGCTCTACTTGTGCAGATACACAAACTTCAGCCAATGAGTCCCACTTTTAGTTCTTAGCCTAATCATCATTATTACAAACTCTAGTGAAACAATTATGATTTATCCCTTAGTACTTAAGTCGCTGAGTAGTATAAAGGAGGTCGAAACCAACACGTATATATATAAGTTAACTTTCAAAATAAGCTAAAGCACGACTAAGTTCCCCTATGCATCAATGCATTGATCTATCCCATGCTGACAGTGATTAACTAAAACTATGTATGCGATTTTCTATAATTACAGATGTCAATAATGAGGTGTAGTAGCATTTTTATATACGACGGAATTACTAAGAACATTGTTAGATCGAACAGTAACGATATTTAACGTAACTATGTTCTAGGTTTAACTAGTTTCTGTTTGATAAATAAGCATAGTACTGTCACTACTTCGTACGTCAAAGAGCGGAAGACATGAAAAGATTAGCTGTCTTTGATCATAGGTGTCTGCGTTCTATCTTCCGTGTGAAGTGGTATAATAAAGTGAGCAATATTGAGGTTAGGCATCGATCGAGTGCTAGGTAAGGAGGGGAAGTCAGTCGACGACACTGTGAAATTACATCGACTGAGATGGTTAGGACATGTGTTACGTATGCATCCCTAGTCATCGGCTTCCTCGACAACGGGCAATGTTAGCTGATATAGGGTCAGGCTGGAAAACAGATAGCGGCGGTCAAACTAAAACATGAATTCACAAGTCGATGAAATCCACAAGTTAGTTTAAGCCAGTCAACCAGCCACGTAGGAAGGTGTAGACTTCCTGACTGGTTGGGGTCCTCGGGACGGTAAAAACTAATGGTTGGAAACAATTGGTGACATGGCTCAAAATCGTTCTCAGTGGCACAGATGCATCCACTCCTTGTGACTTATGATTTCCAATTAAACTGTTTTGTTCTTCGTTATTACTATTCCTTTGTCTCACACCTCTGTTTGCTGCCTCTAATATGCATTTCTCCTACTTTCTTTTGCTTTGTGTGCTACAAGGAGTGTGGCGACTTGAACAGCCGCACATATGTGCAAAGTTCTATGTCGTAAACCGACCGACTGACCGACGCCAAAGTGTGTTTCACTTTTCTTTCAACCAATAAGTTCGAGCTCAAGGTCCACTCCACTCACTTCCGGCCAAGAAATTGGTTATTATCAGCCTTCACACTATAAGTGGGGTTCATGGTCTGCTTCATGAAAGATCCGCTCTGGGGGTAACTGGGTTCTAGCCAACCAATTCACTTTTATGCTAAGGTGCACTCCCTCTGAGCAGCGGGCTGATATAGCATCAAGTGGAACAGAGGTTAAAGAAGACGATCCTAAACTAAGAAGTCAATTGGCTTAGAGAAATCGCTACACTCACATAATAGCACTTATTTGTTAATGAAATGACACGATACTTTTTCGACTGGACACTAATTAGTGTCATGTGTCTAGTCCTATTGTTTGCTGCAGACTGAATTCTATCAGTCAAGTTTGCAATGCGGCCACTATGTTAGGTGGCTCGCCATCACGGTACATTCAGGACTGTTGTTATTAGATAGTTGGAAGCAATCGGCAGAAAGCACAGTCTGACGTAGGTTTCGTGCTAGTTGGCACTCGTCAGCAAGGCGTATCTGCAGTCTTCAAGGAACTCATGTTCCCTTTCAGATTCTCACCCTTGTCACCCAGTGCTGCAGTCAGAGACGTTACCACTGAGCTATTTGTCCAATTATTTTGAGTCTCCTTAATCTGTGACAAGTATGGAAATCTGCTCTACTCTCTATATACAGAACAACATACAAATTTTCAACGCTAATAATGTCAAGTCAGTGCTTCTGTTTGGTTCAGAGACTTGCCACAATACCGAAAACACTCCCAATAGTCTACTGCGGAATTTTGTCGACAGCTGCATCCTCTTCCTCGATACAGAATATCAGATAGCTAGAAAGGAAACGCAACGAGGAATTATGGTAACGAATTCCTCCGCATCTATGTAAAAGGAAGTGGGGATGGATTGCACAAACACTGAGGAGACTGTTGAGTGACACCACACACCAGACCCTAGAGTGAAACCCGAGTGAAAAACAGCGAGTTAGGTGTCCCAGGGTGATATGGAGGAGATCGTGTGAGGAAATGAAAGGTTATGGGCAGTCGTGACGCCAGGATTTCAGAGAAGATGGTGATATGGGAATGTGTTGCTGAAACCCTTTATTATGCTCAGAACCCAAGGTAAAAATAATAATAATAAATAATATAATTGTTTCCAGTCTCCTTACCAAAAATCGTCGATGACAGTTAAGAACGCCACCTAAGACCCGTGGATAAAAGCGATTGAAAGGCATCTCAGACATAACACAATGCAGCACAACGTGAATCATTTCTCTTTCTCGAGCGGCTACAGCACCTGCTCCAAGATGTACACCAGGAGAATTTGCAGAAGTATGACAAGCTTTCAGTAGTGCGGAAGCTGTGGCATCTGGGCCACCAGGAGTAGAGACCAAAATGTTAAACGTCAATTGACGTGAAGCAGTACGTAAACCCAATTTTTCTGCAACAGCTGCAATCTAAGAAAAAAAGCGTTGAAATAAGATGTTCATTACTGTGGTAAAGTAATTGTGTCCGGAAAGAAAACAATCCGTCCAAATGAGACATACAATTCATCTATTTAGCAGTTACTCGAGTACGGGACGCACATAATTCTGATCTAACATGGAACACAATATCTCTACCAAAGAGATCAGTCAATGAGTTTATGACCTGAAGAAATAACTCAATACTCTATCCACACTTAATGTATGATATATCTAGTAGTCCGTCTTAATGCCGATAAGACTTTTTATTTTATTTATTTTATTTATATTGTTCGACCTATGTTCTATTAACAACGGCTATGGGTTCAGCAATTGTAGTAAACGAATTTATTATGACTAATTATGACGATAAGAAGACTCCAGTAGATTTGGATATCGTGGTTGACTTATGTTTGATGTCACACAAACTAGAAGACTTACAGGCTAAAACCAATAAACAGGCAGAAGAGACAGGCAGTGAAGACAGGACTCCAGGTGGATATAGAGAAGACGGAGGTGGTGAAGATAGCCAACCAACAAGCACTAATCACCATCAAAGGAATAAATTTGAAAGAGGTTACTTCTCTTACATATTTAGGCAACACCACTTCAACTACAGGCAGCAAAACGGATAAGAATGTCAAAGCCGGAATTGGGAAGGCAAGATACACCTTCATCACTCTGAATTCAATTTGAAAATCTTCTCCACTCCGTCTCAGCATAAACAACAAAATTCAGGTTTTCAACAGCGATATTACGCCAGTTCTTTTATATATATACACGTCACGAAATATTCCTGTATAACACTGTGTGACTTTATCAGAGTAAAATTTCATCCATAATGGAATTAGGCTACTATAGACTCTTCTTAACAGCTGCCTTCGCTGGCTACATATTGAAGATGAAATGACCAGAAAGAATTAGCAACAGGAAACTCTGGGAATGAACCAACAAGCAAGAATCTAATAGCACAAGAAGCATCCCGAAGAAATTGGAGATGAATCTGACACAAGCTGAGGAGATCCTTGAGTGACATCGGGTGCAAACCCCTCCCCTCCCATAGTGCAACCCGAAAGGGAAAACAGCGATCTGGGTGACATGGTGGAGATGAAAGTTTATGGGTAATCGTAGAGACAATAGGACAAAGTGGAGATACAGCGCTGAAGCTCAATGTTCCACTCGGAACCCAGGAGAACAATAAGAGTAATAACAATTATTATTATTATGACCATCGTCCATTTCACATTATTTTGTATTTGCATTCAACTTATCCCAATTAAAATACAAATACATACACCAACGTATTACTGTAAAATTTGAAACTGACGTAATTTTGAATTCATGTTAGGCAACCAGAGGCAATTGTCATCAGTCTCCTGATGACATTGCATACATTATGGTAGCTACTAAGACAAAAACTTCATCATTAAAAGATAAATATATAGATCACGGATTAATTCTAAGACCACGGTAGAAATAAACACTTTACATACTTCTTTTATACACAAATGTCTAACTCAAAAAATTCATGAATAACCATCTACGTTTTAAGAAGTATAAAACGAAGAAAGCACAGCAGGTGTGAATGGGTTCGATAAAGTCAATGTCAGAGTTAGTTGAGTGACAGAAGTTTTTAATATCCAGTTGGATATTTCTCACGATGTGACAGAAGTCGATCAAAGTGTTCTGCAATACGACTTCCCAATTCCTTCGTTTTCCCGATATGTAAAACAAAACTAAAATGTACTGTTGTATTCATATGAAAAGCATAGTGTAGCTACAGCTGATATGCCCTGCTTCAAACGACCAGGTTTACTGATAAACATAATAAAGGTGACTAGACTACAGAACATAACTTTCCCACAGACTGGCAACAGATTCCGGTTAGAGTGATTAATAATGCATTTAAAAATATTAAAACAAAGAAAACAATGGAATAAATAATTACTTCAGGATTGGTGGAAATCTTCAATTTTTCCTCTTCCTGTGACTTAACCATAGGAATATCCAATGGTCGATTAACCGCTGAACCGACTAACCACCAGCGGCCAGTTGATGTAGAATTCAGTAGATCGTCCAATCCAACAGACAAACACATATCATCGGTGATAGACAATCCTATCACAATTCATTTTAAATAAAATATAAATATATAATTTATTACTTTCAAAAAATTGGTTAAGTACTTTTGTCTTGATTACAGAAGCACACTAACTATATAAAAATATATACATATATATGCAATATATATTTATATTTCTCAAGATTTAACAAAACGGAATTCACATTACCCAGTGATCCCATCAGAAGTCCAATTACTACATAATAGGTTAATGACAGGAAAGAAATTCACTTGATTCATTGGTGGTCACACTGAAAAATGCAATGGATTTCTTAAAAAATATATATCAACCGTTGGAAAAGAGACTGCAGCACTGGGTGACAAGGGTGAGAATCTCAGAAGGGACATGAGTTCCTTCAAGGTTGCAGATACGCCTTGCTGATGAGTGCCAACTAGCACGAAACCTAGGTCAGGTTGTGCTTTCTGCCGATTGCCTGCAACCATCTATTACCAACATAACAACACTGTTTATTATCCCCGGATGCTTCAATGCTCCCCTGAGTTTCTCTCTCAGTGTTGTCGGTTGGTGAATAAATCTGCCTACGAAATCCCTACAACTCAACATTTGTTTATGAACAATAATAATGATTCGCTTTATTACGAAACAGTACTTATAACACAGTGTGGAATCCTCAGCATTTTGTACAATATTGCATCTAATTTACTCGACAACAACAACAAAAAGAGAAATTACATGTCTGTTTGCTTTTTAAATTCCTTTACGTTCCTAGTGGAACATAGGGCTTCAAGATACAGGCTTGAAGATTCAGTAGCAGGGGTGTTTATTCTTAGGGGATGGGGTAGCTAGCCTCATGCTCAACCTCCCCTTTTTGCCAGTCGTATTACTGGCCTAGCAAGGTAAAGGAGTGTGCCGGCGGGGGATCGAACCCCAGACCACCTGCATGGCTGGTGAGCATTCTACCGCTGTGCCACCAACGCACAATTACATGTTATAGGTAACCAAAATTGAATACAGCAATTTTCTTGGTATTCGCAGTAACAATAAAGTCAAAATGTACAAAAAGAGTAAAATGATAACAACAGTTATGAGTAACTAAAATGATAGGATAAATGAAATAGTTTCATCATAAATTACAAAGAGGAGAAGATAAAAGAGTCATTTATTATGTTAATTCACTCTTAGCACTGTCTCTATGAAATAGAACGCAGGACAAATAGGGTATTGTTGCATTTTTGTACTTGGTTGTACGAGCATACAATGTTCTATAATCACTTCTAGTCCTACCTGATGACATGCAAGGAAGAGCTATGAATAAAGAGGGTGCTGAGAGTCAGAAAATATGGATTTCGCCCATTTACCGAATGAGTTCAGATGTCGGTCGACTAAAATAATAACGAACTTACTTAGTGGCCGTTACTTAACTGACAACATTTAATACCCTTTGTAATATTACACAGTCCTTTTTGAATAGCCCATGAAAGACTATTTATTTATTTTTTTTTATTACAACTTGATTCCACACCGTATTTCTTGGTACAGGTATGGAATTTTCAGCATGGATATCGGTAGCCCAAATTTTGCAGGCCGACCATAGATATCAGGTGTGCGTCGGCAGGGGATCGAACCCCGGACCATGTGTATGGGCGGCGAGAGTCCTAACCACTGTACCACCTACTAAGCGGGGGGGGGGAGAGCAACGAAGAATAAAAGATAAGATGTAAGAGTTAAAAAAAACTGTCAAAGTAGAGGTTCAGTGATACCTGATTGTCTTAACTTCTTAATGTAGATGGTTAGATGGAACAGTTTCTTAGAAATTGACAAGATATACGATGATCAACAAAGGTCAGAGGATAGCACTTGACAATACGCCAAAGTAAATTGTGTTACAGTTATTGATGCTCCTCAACGATACGATTGTAATTAGACACTTGATTTTCAAACGCAAGATCACAGATTCAAACTACCTAATATTCCACCTACCAAAGTTTAGATAATACTATCGTATTATCATTAATTACCAAGTCCCACTGCATTATCTGTTATGTTTAAGAAAAAAAACAATTGATATATGTCAACCATCGCGAAAGACACTATCTTCTATTAATCATAGCCATTAAGATTACCACAAATGTCTGAGAAACGACTATCTAATGCTAACAAGAGTTTGATCAAATCAAGATAAACGATATAAAACAAAAGAGATGGGCCAACCGATTTAACTGTTGCAGTAAACTCGGTAAACGCTTATGTGTAAATGAACAGAGTTGAACAACAGAAGTCAACTGGACAGACAAATGCACCAGGATAAAAACTTCGCACAGAAGTGCATTACTTCAAGTTGCTACACTTCAGAAAAGTTTAAAGAAATTAAGAAACATGCGTAAGAGGGGTAAGAACTTTGAACGATTTTAAGCCATTTCATCTAATCACCAAAAAAAAAATCAAAACAGTTGAGAGAAAGCTAAAGGTTACTGAATTCTAACTCATAATCAGATTCGGAGTTTTTTCTTCATTTTATTCCTTTTGCTTCCTAGTGGAACATAGGAATTCGAGCTTGAGGTTTTTAGGTTTCAATAGCAGTGGTGTTTCTTTTTTTTACGGGGTGGGATTGCTCAAATTCACGACCAACCTTTTCTTTTTACATGGCTTATTGACGCCTAAACGATGTTTACGAGCACATCAGCTGGGAATCGAACCCGGACCAAGTACCTGGGTGGCGAGTGTTCCACCAGTGAATCACTAACGCTAACACCCAAGGCAGGACACAAGTAATATAAAAGAGTAGCAACAATTATCACCTGACGTATTAGTTATCCTGGAAATGGCATTTCACCTAGTCAATCTATAGGTCCTGGTAATCGTATCTAATGACGAATAAATTTTTTATTTTATTTTTACTTTTTATTTTTGATTACAGCTTGATGCCACACCGTATTTTCAGTACAAGTATGGAATTTTCAGCATGGATATCGGTAGCCCAAATTTTGCAGGCCGACCATAGATATCGGGCGTGCGTCGGCAGGATATGTAAACACGCTGATAAAAGCTCTGATTTATCAAATTTACGGCAAAATTTAAAAAATACAGATTGTTGTATTTGAGATTACTAAGAATTCAAGAAAAAGCGTCTACCGAATACGACTAAGTTATATATCAATGTAGAATTTGCAAAAAAGTGCATCAGCTCAAATTGATGCAGTTCAGAAAAACAGAATAAAGGACAGGAAAGAAATTTAATGGAACTATAACGCCTGAAGATTTAAAAAAAGGATAATAATTGAACAAAGATTAATGAGCATTTTCAGAAAGTTAAAGATCACAAGTGGTGAATACATCCACGCCATTTGAAACTGTTTGAGTCATATCACAAAGAATATCCAACCAACTGGACACTTTACATTTCATCACGTAGCTCAGACCAATGAACAATGACTTCGTAGATTGGTATTACATTTCATTCTGATGAACCTGAACTTTTTCAATACAAACTAATACAATTTTGCGGTAACCGATGGCATGCGTAAAACGTGTCCCAGTCACCATAACTTCATTGCTTGACACTTTCTCCTTAACAAGAACTAAGACTAACCTCATCAGTACTCATCATATCGCTGTATCTAACAAGGAAGAATTAACGGGGGCGCCAATAGTCAAAATCTGTTACTTTTTTTATATCTTCCACTTTCAACCAGCTGTTCAGTGGGATAGAATGATGAACTGCTGTGTAGTAGTAATCATTAGCTGGATACCACGCCAGTCACCTGTTGGCAAAAAAGCGTTTTGTGTGCATAGAGATTTCGTCGAATTAAGTGCTTGAGTTTCAGCCGGTTAGTCCGAAGATCAAACTTCCTTCTATCTACTTCACGTTGACCGACTGAAGAGTAACATCAGCTCTCACACACAAAAATGGGCTGTACCATTGTATATTTTCCGATAAACATTATTTTGATTTTCACACCCCTGCATAATAAAAGATGATGATATTTTGGCACGATATTTTAGGCTTTAAGAACAGTTAACAATGAGTGCAAAAAAATGATAGTTTTTTGTACTCTCAAGTCTGTGTGGAGGTCAACAGCACTCAGCATCAAAAATAAGATCCGGATTTTCAACTCCAATGTGAAGTCAGTGTTACTATACGGATCAGACACTTGGCCAGCGCGTCATAAAGAGCATCTCAAACAAACTAAAGACCTTCATCAATAGCTGTCTTCGCTCAATACTTAAGAACACATGGCCAGAAAAGATCAGCAACAGAGATCTCTGGGAGCGAACCAACCAGGAACCAATTGTAAAACAAATAGGCAGGAAGAAATGGAGATGGATTGGCCATACTCTGAGGAAACCATCAAGTGACATCACTAGGCAAGCCATTGCTCGAGTGGAACCCGAAAGGGAAGCAGCGAGTTGGTCGTCAGTGCGAGGGTGGGTGACTTGGAGGAGGTCATGTGAAGAGGAGATGAAAACGTGTGGGCAGACTTGGAGCCAAGTGAAGACTCTAGCAGAGAACCGAACGCAATGGAGACGCACGGCTGAAGCCCTATGTTCCTCTAGGAATTAAAGGAAACAATAATAATAATACACACTAGACGGTATTAATAAAATTCAAGTTGTAATTACTAATAACACCTCACATACCTTTAGTCCATACTCTCATAAGTTTTTGCAAATGCATGGAGCGTGTAACACACTCCTCTGTTGAACGTTTCTCTGACAGACGTTGAATTAATCCCTCTAAATCATATCTGAATAGAAAATTAAAGTAGATTAGCATTAGAAAGTAAGAATTAATGTTTTTTTACATACGATAGTTCAGATTTTTCAGATTTACACTTGATAAGTTGATCATTTGCTTGATGAATGATTTCTTGACATCTGTTCAGATTAAATTTTCGTAGATTTACACCAACAGCTGAAAAAAAAAAAATAATAAAATAAACAAGCCAGTTATTCGACATTCTAGTGATGGCGAAATGACAGAATTTTATTTTCCTCATTTATTTATTGCAAACAATGATAATCAAATTTACATATAAATAAAAGGTCAGTAGCTAGGCAACTAACTATTTTACTCGATTCTGTTGTCACAAGTAGTTCGCCCTGAGACAAATATAAGTTATCCAAAGTAGGTTTTCCACGTACCAGACTGACTTGTGTGAAGGCTGAAGACGCTGTGCAGTTCACCAAAATGAAGTACGTGAGATGGGATGGGACTCAGGCCTAGGTCCCACTGGTTGACAGTTGATTGTTGAAACCAATGAGCAGCATCTTGAATGCTTACCTTTAACCAGTTTTCACAACCCTCCCCCCCCCTCCACCTTTCATCTTACAATACATAAATAATATATCTGTCTTAAGATTGAATGCATGCAAATTAGACTAGTTGTATCCGTATTTTTGCACCAGTTATTAACACAGACACTAGAAAAGCAATACATATTTGAAATGTCTTCACACATACTAGAATCCGTGACCCATTGACTGCAACTCAAGTGTTACAGCCAATGACCCAGAGTATACAAGATAAATGACAAACTTTCAGCGATGACTGCGAGGAGCCTATTTCATTCCACTTAAAAGTACTGATAACAAATGTATATACAATAATAATAATGATATTGTTTCCTTTAATTCCTAGAGGAACATAAAGCTGCAGCCGTGCGTCTCCATTGCCTTCGGTTCTCTGCTAGAGTCTTCACTTGGCTCCAAGTCTGCCCACACGTTTTCATCTCCTTTTCACATGACCTCCTCAAAGTCACCCTTGCACTGACGACCAACTCGCCGCTTCCCTTTCGGGTTCCACTCGAGCAATGGCTTGTCTAGTGATGTCACTTGATGGTTTCCTCAGAGTATGACCAGCCAATCCATCTCCATTTCTTCCTGCCTATTTGTTTCACAATTGGTTCCTGGTTGGTTCGCCTCCAGAGATCTCTCACTATTGCTGATCTTTTCTGGCTATCTGATCTTGAGTAGCATTGAGTGAAGACAACTGTTAATGAAGGTTATGTAGTTTGCTTGAGGTGCTCTTTATGACGCGCAGTGCACGTCTCTGATCCACATAGTAGCACTGACTTCACATTGAAGTTGAAAATCCTGATCTTATTTTTGATGCTGAGTAGGGTTGTTGACCTCCACACACACTTGAGAGTAGTGAAAACTTGTCTTGCTTTTCGGATTCTTGTTTTGATATCCTCGTCAGTTCCACCGGTTTGTAGTTGAAACGATGCTTCCCTGGTAGGTAAAAGAGGTTGTTTCTTCCAGGTTCCTTCCATTTATGCTGATCGTTGTCTGTTGTTGTTGTTCTTGCCCAGGAATCTTCATCACCTCTGTCTTCTCTATGTTCACCTGAAGTCCTATCTTTGATGCTTTTTCTGCCAACGTGTTGCAGAATGGGAAAAGTTAGGAATGTAGAAATGATCAACATAGGAAAACAGCTTCAAGTAAAACAAAGTTGATTGGAGGTAATCACCAGGAAGCTCTGGACCTAGATTTCATTCCTTTTTACACACGTCAGCAAGGCATATCTATCTGCAGCCCTGATGGAAGTGGTGCCCCGTCAGGTATTCAAACGTTCGGGTGATCGAAATACAGTGACAGGGCAACTGCTTTGAACCCCACTACATCTTCCGAGGTTTGGACGACCAGATAGTATGACTAGTCTTCACACAATAGGTGTGACGCATTGCCAACTGCAAGGAAATGCAAGTGGTTGTTGAATAATATTCTTTCTATTTAGTAAAGAAGCAACTAGTATATGCAGGAAAGATGGCTGTTTGAATGAGGAATTTACAAATCATTAACAAAGTTTTCAAAAGCTCCAAATAAATTGTAATTTCTCTCAACTGTCCGTACTGTTCATTAGATTATTTACATCAGTTGTATAAACTGTAACATCCTGTAAGCAGCCTTTTATTATTGATTTTTTTATGACAAATTTGTTAATTATTTCATCACGCAGACACAGATGGTGAAAGCAGCTGTAAGGAGCCCAACAAATTGCTATTCCAGTTTATGGCTTATTGTTCTACATAAACATAAGTGAAGTATTTTGAACAATATGAATAATCAACTGAGTTTCAAATAAGCTAAACAATATGACTCAGATGGCGATATCCGCACATTAACCTGTCAAATTCAATAAATCATCCACATTATGAATATGTGGCTTATTGGAAGTAGGGAATCAACTTTTGAATAATGCGACACCACCTACTTTAAACTTGGGCAAACTAATACAGTTAGCGTGATACAGCATAATACACAAAATAGATGTGCTTGCTAATTGAGTTTACAAGTCACACATCAAGTAAAGGCAATAATAGCATCATACATGTTAATACAGGAACTACAACTTACCGATAGCCATGAAGTGGCCAGCTTTAACCTTTCCAGAATCACAGTCACATAGGTATGCTTTTAAAATATCTAAGATTAAAGTACCTGAAATAATCTAATTATCTTGTTATTCATGATAAAAACACAACTTACTCCAAAACGATATAAATAAGCTAAGAAAACGGAATAGGATATAATTACACTTGATGACTGTTGTTGTAATCCATGATTTTGCGGGAAAAGTCGAAAAATTATTGATTCAATCAAATAACCAATCAAAGGTGCAGATTGAAATAAACTGTACAATGACAACTGAACACAAGTTAGACAAACAGCTAATTCTTGATGTAACCACCCCATTTTGGAATTTCGATTTACTTGAGTACACTAAAAAAAATAAAAAGGAGGCAGAGAAAAATAAAGAGGGGAATGGAAGAAAAGACAAAAGTAATTTGTTAGGTATATTATGGAGAAGGATTCGTCTACGCTGGCTTTGTGACCGGTTTGCACCAGATGGTCTAATATCGAGCTGTTAATAGTTTTAACTACACCTTTACTTATCCATAGTGGGATATGTTCTCGAGCACGAAAAACACCCTTAGCCACAGAGTTAGAGCTATATGCTCTGAAGAAGTAATTACAGATGAATTAAGCATGGTATATCATACTTCAATCGAAAATGGTTATCCTGACAAATTTATCAAGAAACATATGACTAAGAAAGCCGAAAAGGACTACCCACTATCTGTAAACAAGAAGCCACTTTATATACGACTACAATTCATGGGCGATATACCAAGTGAGTTAATTACGAAGAAATTAAGAAAATCAGTTCAAAGAACTTTTAATGCTGGCGAATTACACGTAGTATTCTCTACACGACCGATGGTGCTACCTCCACTGAAAGATGAAGTACCTAGACTAGCCACTTCAAATTGTATTTATCAATTCAACTGCGCTTGTGGAGCGAGTTATATTGGCCATCGCTCCAGGAAGTTGATTTTTCGTGCTCGAGAACATCTCCCACTATGGCTAAGTAAGGGTGTAGTTAGAACTATTAACAGCTCGATATAAGACCATCTGGTGCAAACCGGTCACAAAGCCAGCGTAGACAAAAGTAATTGTTAATAGGTAAGGAAGAAACTGAAAAATGTGTGTTTCTTTTCAACCTACTTCAATTAAATTGCATGCTTCTTCAATAATGCAGGAACGAACAGTAGCACGAGGATACTTTGTGAACAATCCACACAATTCAGTAATAATCTTGGACATTTGTGATTCCGATAAACGATTTAAAGAATTTCGTATAGATTTGCATAAACTCTCATTGTCACTATTCATTGAAATATCCTCCTCCTCCTCCTCCTCGTCTTCTACGTCTTCTTCATCTTCTTGATTCACAACACTGTCACATAATTCTGAACTGTTGCCTTGTTCATTCAATACATCATCTAGAATGGAAGCGCGTTCACCATTGAAAATTCAACTCAGATATGCATAACAAACCCATTGGCTGGTCGTCATCACTATTATCACTACTTGAAGCAGCATTATCGCCTGATGTATTTTGTCCGTACAAGTCAAGTGTTTTTTTCTTTTCTAACATTCAATAATTAAAAAAAAAAAACAACGATAGTCATTAGTCGTTTTAACCCACTTTTCTTTTCAGGTAATACACCAACAGTAGTGCATAGAGTGGTATCGTTCTCCTCACTAGTATTCACCACATTCATCTGTTTCTCAAAATCCAATATATCTATAATAATAAATATCAACAATATACACAAGTATAAATAAGTATTACAGTCGAATCCGCATTGTGTTAACCAAAGTGGTGATTTTTCTGTTTTCTTTTTCTTTTTATTTACATTCTTACGATTCATTTTCAACTTTTTTGAGAGCTGTTTGATAATTTTCTCTTCTTTTTCATTGTCTTCAAGCAGTTGTTGTTTTCGTAATTCTTTGTAATTTAATACCCTAAAAGATTTTAACAAGAAATAAAAAAAAGGAATTTATTATACGAAAGCATTTATCATATAACATTTGAAACCGACATGTTCAACTGGAAATCTACCATACATCTGTCTAATTGAAAACGCTCCCACTCCCAAAAAAGCCTTTTCTGGTAAAGCTGTAAAGAAGGCATCAAAGGCCGAGTTGCCGAAAGTTGACAAGAAAAGAAGAAGAAGAGCAGGAGGAAGGAGAGCTTTGCCATCTACATCTACAAAGTCCTCCGTCAAGTTCACCCTGAAACTGTTATCTTATCTTCCTGATAATGAGGGAGTTACCAGGAATTTATTAATACCTTAAATTTATGTGAATACTATATATGATCGGTATAATGTTGAGAAAATCGTTTAACACAAACCTTCAGATTACAATACCTTTCCTTCAATCAAATTCACATTTTGAACCAATTTAATGACTTACTTTTTTTTCGATTTTGTCATTCCCCTAAAAATGAGAAGAAGAATCTTTTAGTGATAAGTACTCTGAAAAGATTAACTTGGTTGGCAGATTGAAATAAATAATTAGTTAATAAACACTTCTTTCTGTGATACTGAAAAACCTGATAATTGTGCAAAGTTGTACTCAAAAGTATCCGCTTACGATACTGATAGTTTGCCGATTCATGTATCAAGCAAACGGACCAGAATGAAGAACAGAACTTGAGTACTGTGGCAGAATTAAGAATTAGGCCAGAATATGCGTCATACAACAGTTTATCGTTTCAGCCTGTCACACTTCACACTAACAAGGAGGTGAGTAGTCAGCGGAGAGTAAAATAAAGATAAGATCAAATAATGAAGCAGCATAGGTTGACTGTCAGCTACACGACACAAGATTACATAAAACGAAATAAATATGATAAAATAAAGTAAATAAGGATCAATAAAATATTTGGAATACCAATTATTAAATATTTACAATCATCAAAAGCCTTTAGTCAATAGTTACATCTCAATGATCCCGAAAACGCACACACCAACGCAACTGTAATTTAGTGGTTTAGATACTTGACTTTACTTCAATAGCCCATGAACTCAAACTGCACTCTGTCTAACAATATTTGGTTTACGAGAATGTCCCGACCGATAGCTGCTACCTTGACGTGGTGGTCGCGCTTGCACATTGCTATGACCCAACAAGCTACACTGGCTGGAACTATTGTTCCTGCAGGTCCTACAATGCCAGGAGGGTTGTTAGCATAGTGATTTGACTAAAAGAAGTTACCGGCACATTGTAAGAATTTTTTTTACACTATGCTGAGGGTCAGTGAGCGATGTCGTACTGCTGGGAAACAGGGATTTAACAGTAGTAAGGTGTTTCCCTCAGACCGCCAGCATGTCAGCTATGTTTTCTCTCCACTCTGAAAAGACGGTGTTAGAAAAGGTCGACCCCAAAAATTGTACATTCCGACTTACGTTACGGTGGTCCGTAACCGGAGGTAAATTTACTAACTTGGAACCAATCCAAGAAGTCAGTATATACAGCCCCTGGGCAACTGTGACCCCAAGAATAAATCAACTTCCAAGGTGTGGGCAGCCGGGATGTAACAACCGCTCACACACTTCCAAAAGCACACGAAGCCTTCCTGAGTATCATTCTCCTTTACACACAACACCCTCATCACCTTGTTTTCCCACTACTGTTAATACTATCATAAAGACTGGTCAATCTTCTTCATTTCATTCTGTGACCACAAACAACAATGAGAGCCATAGAAACACCACCCCCCCCCCCGACAGCCTCTTAAAGCCACGTCGCCAACTTCATATTAGAGCATTCAACGTCAGGAACCTCTGCCGAATCGGACAACAGGCATCAATAGCGAGAACTCTGGTATTTCGAGCCATGGATGTATGTTGTGTTTCGGAGACATGCATAGAAGACCCGACTGTGGTTATTCACTTAACCACACCTAGCCAACAAGGTGGATCTGCAAAATTCACCCAGAGGGTGTCAGCAGATTCGTCAGCAGCAAAACCACTTCTTGACTGGTCACGGTAGATAGTCGTATGTGTGTGGTCTGTCTGAACAGGTCCGTTAGAAAAACGAAGGACGGCGTCACCCTCGCTGTCTTTTCAAAATCTCCGCTTACGAACCAACAGACTGTAGTTCGGATGAACTAAAGGATGATTTCTGTCTGTGTCCGTTTACGACATAGAATTTTATACTTATGTGCGGCAGTTCAAGTCGCCACACTCCATGTAGCACACAGAGCAAAAGAAGGTAGGAGAAATGCATATTAGAGGCAGTAAACAGAGGTGTGAGACAAAGGAATAGTAATAACAAAGAACAATATAGTTTCATTTAGTTTCAAAGCTATTCAAATGCAAACTGACAAGAAGTCTTCGCAACGACCGTGAACAGTGGTGGGCGAAAAAAGCGAAAGAGATGGAAAAGGCATCGGCGACTGGTAACGCCAGACAACTATTCAGGCTTATCAGGGAAACAGGTGGCAAAAGGCAAATGATAAGTGAAACAATCTCGGAGAAAAATGGCACCATAGTTAGCTCCCAAGAGAGACGACTAGAACGTTGCAAAGGACATTTTGAGGAGCGATTCGACTGACCTATAGCCATGCTCAACTTACCCAACATCCAACACATCCCTGAACGGGATATAAACACAGGTCCTCCGTCCCTAACTGAGGTTACTAAGGCTATCACTAGTCTAGAACGAGGCAAAGCTGTGGCACCCGATGGGATAACTCCATAGGTATTTGAGCACGGAGGAGACAGTTCACTGTCTGTGTTAACTAAGGTACTACGCAGCGTCTGGGAATCAGAGGAAGTCCAGTTGGGTTGGTGTAAGTCACTGATTATCCCGACTTACAAGAAGGAAGACAAGCCTTTCTGTGATAATCACATGGGGATTAGCTTGACTAATATGGTATCTTAAGTTCTAGGCTCAATAATAATGCGTAGACTAAGCGGTTCACGGAAGGAACAAATACAAGAGAACCAGGCAGGCATTGCACCAGGAAGAGGGTGTATTGGTCATATCTTTACCCTTCGACAGATTCTGGAACATAGGCATACTTACAGGCGTCTAACAAACGTTATTTTTTTTACCTGAAGGCGGCATCCAATTCTGTCAACCGAGAGGTTCTCTGGCGATGCTTGGCTGTAGAGGGAATGCCGAGAAAATACATTGCACTGATCAAGGCACTCGCTCTACTCGAACTCATGCAGCCAGGTAAGGGCTTAAGGCGAGCCGTTGTCTGAAGTGGTGACAACTAGTGGTGTCCGTCAGGGATGCCCACTATCCCCATTTTTATTCAATTTCGTCATAGATATACTAATGGACTTAACCCTAACTGCTGATTTCAGAGACTCAGGGACTGACTTGTTACCATCAGGGAATAATCTGGTTGGCCTAGAATATACGGATGATATAGTCCATCTAGGCGAGGACGCTGTCAAAATGCAGAGTCTTCTGAACACCTTGAGGAACAGCAATCTTCGAATATTTGGGTTGTAATTCTCTCCTGCCGAATGTAAGGGGATGCTACAGGACTGGACTACATTGACTCCTAGCTTAGAAATAGGAAGTGAAGTGGTAGAGCACGCTGACCGCTTCACTTACTTGGGAAATACCATCAGCCCCAACGGGTTGATCGCTGACGAAATCTCTGCACAGATACAGAAGGGTTGTCTTGCATATGTCAGTTTATGCCGCCTCTGGCGTAGACGTGATATCCGGATGGCTAGCGACCAAAGGGAGTCTGTACTGCTCAGCAGTACGAACCATCCTCCTTTATGGCTGGCTGTGAGTGAGACCTGGTCACTGAAAGTGGAAGACACGAAGAGCCTGGCTAGCTGTCTTTGATCATAGGTGTCTATGTTCTATCTCCCGTGTGAAGTGGTATAACAAGGTGAGCAATATTGAGGTTACGCATCGGTCGAGTGCTAGGAAAGGACGGAGGGGAAATCAATCCACGAGGCTGTGAAGCATATGCATCAGTTGAGATGGTCAGGACATGTGTTACGCATTCCAAGTCACCACCTTCCACGACAATGGCCAATATTAGTCAGCTGACATAGGGTCAGGTCGGAAAACAGCTAGTGGTGGTCAAACCAAAACATGAATTCATCAGTCAATGAAATCCACAACAGTTAGTTTAAGCCAGTCAACCAGCCACGTTGGAAGGTGTAGACTTCCTGGTTGACGGGTTGGGATCCTCGGGACGGTAAAAACCAATGGCTGGAGACAACCGGTGACATGGCTTAAAATCGTATTCAATAATGGCGCAGATGCATCCACTCCTTGTGACTTATAATACCCAATGAAACTATATTGCTCTACGATATTACTATTCTTTTTGCTTCATACCTCTGTTTTACATTTCATTTTACATTCTTCTTCTCTGGCTTTGTGTGCTGGTTGAAGTGTGACGACTTGAACTGCTGCACATCGGTGCAAAGTTCTATGTTTAAACCAGTCAGTCACCAGAATGCATCACTACGTGAAAGCAAAATGTTTGGCTTGTCAACTGGTTCAAAAATATGGCAGCGGTTAGTGAGTTCAATTGGTGTATATTTCCTAGATATATCCTACACATGACAGCAAAGTATGGGCTGCTAACTGGCAAATGGTGCTGCTACTTAGCCAAACTTAGGAATTTTTGATGTAAATGTATTCTGTATAGTCAATGTTCTCAACTATGACACATTAATAGTCGTTCTTGATTTATTCAAATTTATTAGTGTGAAGACTTTTATGAAGTTTTTATAGCACATTTGTTTTCATATCACCAAACACACTGTGCACACTAAGATGCCTTTCTTCAAGGTACTCGAAAGAACCCGCTAATCTTAAAAATACGCAATTAATATTATGTTATGTATTCACACTAAGATAAAACGACCGTGGGAGAACATAACAATCCATGAGAAGACAAAAGCAGAATAACCTTTACTAAAAAGTTGACAACAGATTCTAACAAGAATGTTCACGCTAGACTGTAGAGAACCTAGCGAAGAACAACTTAACAAAAGAGAAAACCTCCATTTTCATGTGTACAAAGATGATTTTTCACAAGGTTAATCCCCTGAAATTACAGTTGAAACAGGGTTTTCTAGAACTGACGGGTAAAATTTGAAAACACTGGCTGAAACTTAAGTTGAAGTAGCTTTTTCACTTTTATGACCGGAAAAAATTATTCCAATGTTAATAATCTGATAAAAACCAAACTTGCAATGATGTCCAGCTAATTCCGAAATTCTGTTTAGTGTTAAACGAATGTATTGTGAGCCGAAGAACAGTATATGCTGAACTAATGCGGAAAGTGCTGAAAAATACCAGTGGATACTACACTAATGCGTAAATACTGCTAGTCAGTAATGAACAGCAGCTAAAAGTGAGAAAAATAACTTGAAAAAAGCCAGTATGTGCTAAAATAAAACACAGCGTCGTAAAAATGCTAGACAGTGCTTAACTGAAGCTCAAAGTGATGAAATGGTGCTGGAAAATGTCAGTAAGCAGTGAACTGGTTACGTGGAATAATAGCAAACAGCATTATCTTGTGCGTGCGTCGGTGGAATAGCGGTTAGAACGCTCGCCGACCAGGCACATAGTCCGGGGATCCATCCCCGGCCGACGCTCTCCTTTACCTCGCTAAGCCAGAAATAATGCTGGTGAAGAGGAAAGGTTGGGCATGAGACTAGCAACCCCATCCTGTAAAATAAACACTGCTACACAAACTCCAAGCCACTAGCTTGAAGCCCTATGTTCCACTGGGGAACGTGAAGGGAGAAAATTATCTTGTACGGAACATCGCGCCACTGCATTTTTCAAGCACTTACTCACCATTCGAAAGTGTTAGTTCAGAATCCCAAGCTTACAACAATTCTAAACTTATTCTAACCTATGCGTCGATAATGTCTTTTTATGGTAAATGAATATTTTATCTACCCACTATGTTCTGAAATAACGCTGGTCGTGATTAAAAAGAGAGTTGAGTGCTGAATTAAGTCTTGTCGTCCTGAAGTAATGCTAGTGAGTGCTTAATATGTCCTGTAAGGGCTGGAACAACGCTGATAAGCAAACCCAGTATGTTCTGATCTACTCCTAAAAATGCCGAGAAAAAGAACACGGTGCTGAATTAGTTCTAGTCATGCTGAAAACCAGCAGAGTTCTAGTCCGTGCCATTATACAAACCATTCGAGAACAGATTCAGAATTTACTCACTATAGGATGCTAGAATTATCTCAGAATTACTGAGATTTAATTCAGCATTATAGTAAGCTTGGGATTTATTGACAGATGACAAGTTTGAGAAACTTAGCTTTAGAAATATCACAATAACTATGGCATTAACAATAACTTGGCTTAATGTGAATTACGCTAGTCATGAAAACTTGCACAATGAGTGATTCAACTACCTACTGTCAATCGAATGTTTGATGGTTATTACCGAGATTACAACTCCATTAACTTCACCTTCAACTACATATCTCTGTGGATTTATTGGTCCTCCATCTCCGTGGTCGTTCGTTTTGGTCAATATATTTTACTCTAACCTAACATCATTCCAAACGAAGTGAATATAATAATTGGCACACGCTGTAACGCACCTTCCGAAAACCCGCCAGAGTAATACTACATTTTAAACGCGAATACAAGGTCATATATCCGAGCTAGTGTAAACTCAATCGATTTCTTTGTTCGATTGTGCCCGATTTTTAGTCATCTGCATAGTGTGTTGTAGATATGGTTGACAACAAG